GCTCCAGAGCTTTCCAGGAACAAAAACTTCTCAACCTGATCATCAGCTAGGTAGGAGCAGGAAACCTTTCTCTGGTGTGGAACTCGTGTAACCTTCAGGAATGGAAGCGTGGAGCCTCCAGGGCTTGGGCGCGTAGCTTGTCCACCTCTGCATTGGGCAGAGGAAAGGGGCAATGCGATGTGGGAGCTGGCTGAGGAAGGAACAGGGCAGCAGGCTGCCGTCACCACGCTGTAGAGAAGCTGCCGCTGCGCTTGCTGTCACCCGGCCGGACTAAGCAAGCTCACTTGGCTGTACCCTAGCATGGGAGTACCGCAGTCGGAGCTTCTGCGGTCTAGTCCTCCTCTGCTAGAGTCTAACGGGGTGCCAGAAGGGCTGCTACTGCTGCATGTCAGTCAGCGAGTACTTGGCACTCCTGTGCCAGCTGGCTCCCGCAGAGGAATGCACGTGGGCGGCCATGCAGCAGCTCTCAGGGCTGCCATGCCCTCGGCGCTACCGTCTGCGCTCTGACGTGCGGCGCTGTACCTTGCACGCTGCGCACCACGAGCTGGTACGTTGAGCTGTCCTGGGAGATGGGCACCTACTCAGCCTCTCCTTGTCCCTTGCTCATGATGCTTGTTCTGATCTCTCTGCAGAGTCCAGGAGTGATGATAACAGCGTCTTCGATCTCTTTGAACTCATCGGCTTCATTCGGAAGGGAGCCGGCCGCCGGGCACCCGGGGTGCACCTGGTGAAGGGACCAGAATCCTCCAGCCCCGCTTACCGCATTGAAGATGCCAGTCGCATCCCGGCTGTCCCTGACTCCAAGTTCCAAGACTTATTAGATGCCATCCATGCCGAGAAGGGCTTCATCCTCCTGGCCACTCTCCGGCAAGCCAAGAAGAGTAGAGGCACGCTGCTGTCTGTGGAACAGAAAGATGGCTCTGGTCATGTCTTCAGTCTAGTATCAAATGGCAAGGCAGGCACCCTGGACCTAAGCCTTTCTGGTGACGGCAAGCAGCAGTTAGTGTCAGTGGAGGATGCCTTGCTAGCTACAGGACATTGGAAGAATATCACCCTGTTTGTGCAGGAGGACCGGGCTCAGCTCTATGTGGGCTGTGAGAAAATGGAGAACGCTGAACTGGACATGCCCATCCAGAACATCTTCACTAGGGACCTGGCCAGCAGTGCCAGGCTCCGTATTGCCAAAGGGGGAGTCAATGACAACTTCCAGGTAAGAGTTTCACGTATGTTTTTGCCTAGTATTTTCAGTCATCTGCCTTGAAGGTGCATTAGCTGCTCAGCCAGCCTAAATAGCTACAAAGACATGGGCAAGAGGGAGGAAGGGTTCCACCACTGAGTAGTTTGTGTACATCTGATGTACACCACCTCTAAATCTACTAAATTTTAATACGGAGTTTGAAGGGTGAAGCACTAGATTTGCAGGGATAGAACTTACTGAAGCTTCCAAACAGGTAGTTGTAGCTTCATTGCTCCGTTTCTTGTATGAGATTCAGAAATTCATGGGGTTTTTTTCCTTCTTGCCTAGAGAGCTGCCAGGTCCTTGTGGTCAAGGATGAGAGTGTTAGAAAGCAGGGCTTTTATCTTTAAGAATAAAGCAACATGTTTCACACTGCCATCTGTCTGTCATGAAATGACTCTTAATGATCTTAGGTGAACTTATGGGGCTACAAGCTCTCCCCATGCAAGTTGTATTTCTTTCCTTTGCAGTCGCTGCAATTAGCTGTAATTCTTCCTCTGTCCACAGGGACTGCTGCAGAACGTGCGGTTTGTGTTTGGAACAACTCTGGAAACTATCCTGAGGAACAAAGGCTGCTCCAGCTGTAAGTCCGCAATCTTCTGAATCCAATGACCTATTAAAAATAAGATTCCTCATTACGTTAGAAAGACGAGTTTAAACAACTCAGAAGTATGCTGACATGCAAATCCACATTGCATAAGAAATAAGATTATATTTCTGCAGGCACCCTAATGAATCTGGTGGCAGCTGTTGAGCAGGTGTTAGCCTGGAATGATAAATGCACATGGTAAAAAATGCATTTACTTTATGTGTGTTTTTGTCTCTTAGCCACTAGTGCGATCATTACTTTGGACAACCCTATCAACGGTTCCAGCCCAGCTATCCGCACTAATTACATTGGCCATAAAACAAAGGACATCCAAGCAGTCTGTGGTTTTTCCTGCGATGAACTAACAAATATGTTTGTGGAACTGCAGGGGCTCCGGTCCATGGTTACAACACTTCAAGACAGAGTTCGCAAAGTGGTGAGTGTTGGTTAAATTCATGGTACCTTTTGTTAACTGGCACTTAGTGAGTGAAGTTTAACCTGCCCTTTCAGAGCCTGGATAAACAGTAATAACTTTACTCTCTGACTTTTGTGGAAAAGGGCATTTTCTGTATCGACTTCTAAATATCTTCTCTCTGCTTCTCTCCCCTGCCTTCCATCCCCCCAAGACTGAAGAAAACGAGCTCATTGCCAAAGTGGTCCAGATCACTCCTGGAGTATGCATTCATAATGGAATCTTGCACAAAAATAAAGAAGAGTGGACTATTGACAGCTGCACTGAATGTACCTGCCAGGTAAGATTCCTCACATTCATAAATCCTCTTTCATGAGTGGAAATGAACAGATATTTCTAAATGACATTCTTTGTTAGAGTGAATCCTACACAGAACTGGGCATACTACAGTAGCCAGAGAATTATTCACTTTATTTCATGCTACTAGATCTCTGGTATAAAGGCAGCTTTCATACAGTGTTACAACAGCAGTATTTTAGAAAATTATACAAAACGTCACTCTGATACAACTGTTAACACAGTTTATCTATCTTTATCTAACAAATGCTTCAAGATGTGTCCTATTAGCTGTTAGAGATTATATGGAAGAGCAATCCCTTCCAGATTTCAGGATCACTTGGCAAGATACTTATGCTTTGTGTTCCACTTCTGCGGAATATTGTACACCAAAACACTATTTCAGAGTTTCTTTAAACTCTTTGCTTGCTCCCTTTCACTGTAAGTACACCTTAGCAAAAGTATCTTGGAGTACCAGTCTACCAAAGAGTGGGTTAACTAGCCTGCCGCTGTTTAGAAATTGAAGGCTGAGTATTTGTACATGTGCAATCCAAGGCATCTCGGCGAGTTCTGCATCTGCTTCTATAGGTGTCTACATCTTTTGTTGTGTAGCCAGAAAATGATACTCTGACTTCTCCGCTTGCCTCTTTCCTACCAACTCTCTTACTCAATGTTAGCTGTAATTGCCTTAATGTAGTCATTTGCTTGGGGAGATTAAAATAGTAATCATGAGAGCTTTCTTCTGACCAAGCTGCTACCTTCAAGAAGCAAAACTATAGGCTGCCCTTTAGCTCTCATTGAGACTAGAGGTGGGTGTTCTTACCCTGCCTGCTTGGCTTAAAGATCAAAGACCTCTAAGTATAAGTTATAGATTTCACGGCTCTTGAGCGGAGTCCACTAAACTGGTTTTCTTTACTATATAATCAGCTTAAATCCACGTTAACTGAAAAGCAAGCTGGCTTCTCATTCTTGTTTCCTTCCCTTGAAGTCTGACCTTTTACTTTGGGTATCACATGTTAGTCTCTTACTCTAGCCAGCATCTGGTAGCTACTCTTGACCAACTTCTGCAAAACCAAAATACTTCTGCTCTTGACTGAAACACAATGGGTGAGAATGGGAATGAGATGAAGTTTGACTAAAAATACCTGGGACTACCCTCGGGTTGTACTAGCTCTAAATACAAGGGGCTCTGCTTTAGATGTGCTATTGAGTCTTTAAATGCTGCAGAAAAGATCATTTAACCACACTGCAGATGTTGTTTATATTCCACTTGCTTATTGCAGTTCTCATAATTCGTTATAGAACTCTGCCACTATATGCCGGAAAGTGTCCTGTCCTCTCATGCCTTGTTCCAATGCCACTGTGCCTGATGGGGAGTGCTGCCCCCGATGCTGGCGTAAGTACTTAATACCTTCACACTTCTGTAGCAGCTGGCTTCGTCTAGCGAGACACATGGTGCTCCAAAGTGTAATACAACTGGATATAACCTTGCACCACTGGAGTAAGGTTAGCCTGATGTCTCTTGGAGGTTAATCACTTAGGTGATGCATGCAAGCACTGAAGCATTTGAGTTCATGGCCTTTGTCTTGCACAAGAATGGAAGATGCATATGGCTTTTGAGGACAGTTGTGTCCTTTACTGTGGAGAGAGGGGCGGGAGAAAAGACCATGGAAAGACGTGTACCTGGGTCTTAACAGAGCTGTACCCCTCTGCAGCTAGCGACTACGCAGATGATGGATGGTCTCCTTGGTCTGAATGGACTTCATGTTCTGTGACGTGTGGGAATGGGATTCAGCAGAGAGGGCGATCCTGTGACAGTCTGAATAACCGCTGTGAAGGGTCTTCTGTACAGACTCGGACTTGCCACCTTCAGGAGTGTGATAAGAGATGTAAGTACTTAATCTACTAACACTGGTAGTAAAACACAGGCCACTTTTGCTGGCTTAATGTTAACAGCAAAGATTACCATGGAGCTTTGTCACTGGGATGGAGCATTGGCTTCAAGCTTTAAGGACTTACATTAATCAGGTCAAGAGGAGCAGACAGTTAATGCAGTAAATAGGCATGTTGGGACACTGCTCCCAGGACAAAATTTGAGGCCAGTTTAGGTATGTAATGTCTCTAGTGACAAAACAACATGATCTGTGACGGTGCTGAGGCTATCCTATATATTTGGAATCTCTGGCACAGTTCTGGTACTAGGTATGTCCTAGGTGTTGTGCAGCTGAAGTTTGTTCTTCAGAAACTCTACTAATAACCAATATATCTCTCTTGTAGTTAAACAGGATGGTGGCTGGAGTCACTGGTCACCATGGTCATCATGTTCTGTCACTTGTGGCACGGGCATCATCACTAGAATTCGTCTCTGCAACTCTCCAGTACCACAGCTGAGTGGCAAACCTTGTGAGGGTGAGGCAAGAGAAAACAAACCCTGCCAGAAAGATCCTTGCCCAAGTAAGTGTGTCCAGGTGGTAACTACTATTTGGTAGCTTAAATGGTGAAATTGCTGAGTAGCTGCTATGTAATCTCGTTCTAGTAATCTCTCTTTAAGCTTAGAGGTGGTCTAGGTAAAACGTCACAGGTTAGTTTCAGATGAAACTAAACTGTTTTATATGGCTCTTCCACAGAGTCCATTAATTCTGTCATTTATGTCTGAACAACGTCCGAAGTGCTCTCACTACAAAAGTAATAGTCCTTAGTCAGGTAGAAACTAGTTGTTCCACTGAATTTAAAGCTATATGTGTCTTCTAACTTCTGTCTCCCTTTAGTTAATGGCAACTGGGGACCGTGGTCTCCATGGGATGCTTGCACACTGACATGTGGAGGAGGACTTCAAAAACGTAGCCGTCTCTGTAATAATCCTGAGCCTCAGTATGGTGGGAAGACTTGCGTAGGTGAAGCTAGAGGGACTCAGGTCTGCAACAAACAGGACTGTCCAATTGGTGAGTATCCATTTTCCCATGAACATCTGAAGGTTGTGGACATTCTTGAAAATACTGATTAAAAAAGTTGACATAAGTCTGTAAAACACAAGTGCTAGAATCTTAAACCATCATATCTGTCAAATATAGTACTGTAGCACCATGGTAAGCATCCCTCATCTTAACACTTTCTCATTTGTTTCTCAGATGGGTGCCTGTCTAATCCCTGCTTTGCGGGGACTACATGTACCAGCTCCCCTGACGGTTCCTGGAAGTGTGGTGCTTGTCCTGCTGGCTACCATGGTGATGGTGTCCACTGCGAAGATATTGATGAGGTAAGAAGACTAGAGTTTGCTCCTTAAAGGGAGTGAAAGAAAATGGGAAGGGAGAATAAAATCCCAGTGTTTTCTAATGCAAACTGTTGTTCTTCTCTATCCCAGTGCAAAGAGGTTCCTGATGCCTGCTTTGTCTTTAATGGAGTGCACAGGTGTGAGAATACTGAACCTGGGTACAACTGTCTGCCTTGTCCACCACGTTTCACTGGGACACAGCCCTTTGGTCGCAGTGTTGAGGATGCCATGGCTAACAAACAGGTATTGTCAACTTAAGAACTCTTCTGGGTTATGAAATCTCACAAAGTTTCTAAATAACAGAGAGCATCTATGTGTTTCAGGGAAGAAAGACTTGGTACGTTTATTAAAACACCATCCTCTGTGATTCAGAACAGAAGGAGCATTAAGCAGTTTCTACTGGAGTTCAAAATTATTTTAAAAATCACTGTCCTCCTCAGCCATGGACGGTTGAGATGTTATACATAATTTTAGGAGAGTAATTTCATCAGTATTCACTTATGATCCAACAACATGTGCCTTAGAAATATTTTAGTGCTTGGTTCCACTTGAACATAAATAAGGTTTGAAGAAGAAAACTAATTAATGCTAAGACTGCTACTGGAGTTGGGGAGTGGAAGAAAGTAATTTATGAGGGTTTTTCTGATTGAAGGATCTCTGATCAAAATAAGCAAGTGTTCTCCATGTTTTATTTGAATCTCTAGGGAAAAATGAGGAATAAAAAGATGTTCCTAGTGGATTTAATTTCTGCGTGGTCTTCTAGGTCTGCAAGCCACGTAATCCATGCACAGATGGAACTCATGACTGCAACAAGAATGCCAAATGCAATTACCTTGGCCACTTCAGTGACCCCATGTATCGCTGTGAATGTAAACCAGGCTATGCTGGCAATGGCATAATCTGTGGAGAAGATACAGACTTGGATGGATGGCCAAATGAGAACCTTGTTTGTGTTGCCAATGCCACTTACCACTGTAAAAAAGTAAGTTTATTCTGTTTTCCCCTCTACCATTGTAACAGCCTGTCTATCTCAGAAATATACAAAATATTTTAACTTAGAGGTAAAAAGCAAGCCTCTGTCTTGTTAGAGCTATTAAACTATCCTCTCTACAAATAAAACTGGTGAAATACTCCCTGTGTAGGGATACCATTGCCAAGGTATTGCTAGGAGGCTTTTGCTGTTGCTTTAGATATTCCTGCAAGATAGGAAAAAATGAAGCCTGACACAGTTATAAATATTTCTTATAGATGTTCTAGGAAGACTCAAGTTTAGGCTATACCTATGTCAGCTTTGTTCTGACAGATATGTATCTCCAGGGGAAGAAGAAGAGAGTAAGATTCTCAAAAGCAGCCAAATCTTTGTTTTAAAAATGATTTGAACTATGGCTTTCTAAGATTTATTATCACACTAATGACTAGCTAAAATTGAAAGAATTACAGTAAGGTAGCACATACCTGATTGAAATATTATGATCTTTTGCTTAATGATTAGATCTTACCTGCTAAAATCCCTATTGTCATCACACCAGGAGTAAACACATCTGTGTACTTTCTCCTTTCTAGGATAACTGCCCTAATCTGCCCAACTCTGGGCAGGAAGACTATGATAAGGATGGGATTGGTGACGCCTGTGACGATGATGATGATGATGATGGTATTCCTGATGACCGGGTAAGACAACACAGAAGAACAGCCTTTGAGAATGTAGCTCTCCCTTTCCCCTTCCTAAGGCTGGGATCTAGCTTCTGATGTTAATCTTAAGAGAGGACCATAGGAAATTGCTGGCACTGACAGCTATTCTAGAAACCTTTAAATATGCATAACTATGCAGACAAACTTTCTGCAGCTGCTTGAGCTTTGGAAGTGAATATTTGTTTTTATTCAGCCATTCCTACACTCATGTAAGCGGTGGGGTTTTTTGAGATAGAAGCATTCCAGCTTTAACTGTTCCCTGCGTTTCACTTCTTTCACGTAGTGGTACAAGCATAAGTAGGATCTGGTTAAAGCTCTAATTTGACTCTCTTTAAAGCTTGACTTCTTTTTCGCTCTTGCAGGACAACTGTCCATTCATCTACAACCCACAGCAGTATGACTATGACAGGGATGATGTTGGTGACCGCTGTGATAACTGCCCCTACAATCACAACCCTGATCAAACTGACACTGACAACAACGGAGAAGGAGATGCATGTGCAGTGGATATTGATGGAGATGGTAGGTGGCTTCTGATGACTCCTTTAGAAGGTTTTCTAATCACAGATTGATCTAATGTACCACTGATTTCCTACCAGAATTTCATCCCTGAAAATACAAAAGGTGGTTTCAGGACATAAGGATTACTGAAGTAACAGTTACAGCTAATGGAAATTTACTTTGAAATATATATATTTTGGCACAGTTAAATTCTAGCTCTATTCTCACAGGCAGTAGGAACAGAAGCATGTGGCAGAGCTAGTGATGAGTCAAGTTTCAAAGCTTTCAAATGCTGCTCAAAATGCTTTCAAAAACATATCAAGAAGTGTGTGGTGGCTTTATACAGTTCTTTGCAGCATTTAGATGTCTGACATTCATTCATGAACTCTCCTTAATTTTGCAGGGGTCCTTAATGAAAGGGACAACTGCCAGTATGTCTACAATGTAGACCAGAGAGATGCAGACTTGGATGGTGTTGGAGATCAGTGTGATAACTGTCCACTGGAACACAATCCTGACCAGGTAGGGAATTTGCATTATATAAATAGAAGACAGGTATTATAAAAAATATAGGATGTTGTGTATTGTAGAAAATATTTGAACAACAAGTTGCAGATTAAATTTGACTTGTCACAAACCATTCTTAATTAATTTGCCAAATGGTGCTTTTACCAAATAACTTGCCCTCATGGTTCAAACAGCTGCTGGGTATTTTCTGAAAAGTAACTCTAGTGAAGATCTGTGAGGCTACTGTGTGCGCTCATCTCCTAAACATTTCTTAGGTTTGTCAGTTGTGGTGGCTCTTGTAGTGAGGATATGAAATTCCTAGGAGCACTGCATGAAATCTAGGTAGGCAGGAACTACCCTCTTCATAGCCCATAGTGCTGGGTTCACTTAGACACAAAGTCGATCTTTAATCTTTGTCCTTAAGTTCGAAACAGCGGCATTTCAAAAGATAACTTTTCTACTGGTAAGCTGAAGGCAGCACAGGTTGCTTTTCTCTAAGGAAAAAATGTATTCTGACACTTTTAAAATCCTTCTTAATAAAAATCCAGGGGGATCCAGCCTTTCGCACAATTTACTGGTTCAAAAACGTTTGATGGTAGAAGCAGATAAAGCCTGTGCCGTCCTGTCAAGGACAAGGCTGGAAGTTTATTAGCTTCAGGAACGTAACTGGAATGTTTGAAGGGTTAGAAAAGCCGGTGCAAATCAGTGTAATCTAGTGTAGCATGGCCATGTAGCCTAAAAGCAGTGTTACCTGAAGGATTTAAACAGATAATATAAAATTTCTTAGTCTTTGTTGCTTGCTCTACTGCTTCCCCACCTAAGGGTAGAAAGTGTCTGAAGATCCTTTCAGGAATGTTTCTCTTGACACTTTGAAATCTTAATATAAGACTTTAATGGTTCTTCAAACAGTTTTCTAATCAAGTTCTAGAAGCAGAGATATTAGATTTCAAATGTCAGAATTAGTAGCTATTCAAACTGTGTGGTATGCCTGCTGTCTACACCAACACCAGGGTCATCCACCAGTGTTGTCAAGACTACTAGACTAAACCTTCAGGCAGCCTCAGGGATGACTGGATTATTTTTCTTATTTCAGAAGCTGACTAAGCAAATGACTGGCTAAAATACGTGATCAGCAAGCACAGCAGTTCACACAGCCTTTGATCACTAAGGGAATAATTGTCTTGACTGACGAATCAGGGGGCTTTTATGATAAAGAACACTATGATATGGTGTGGAAGCTGCAAATCCAAGACTTGGTAGACTATATTTTAATGTTACAGGCTCTACTGGCTAGGTACAGAGTAGTCCTACCCTTATCTGGCCCTTGGAACCAGGAAGCTGCCAGAGAAGGTGGGAGGTGAAATATCCTGTGTCCGGTACGGTAGACTAGTGACAGAAGAACTACTTGGCAGAAGGGAGAAGAAGAGAAGCTGATGACCACACTGCTTTCTGCTGCTGTAGATTCAAATTAAAACCAGGGCAACACTAAAGCAGCCCAAAAGCAGTTAGCACAGGCAGCTTTAGAGTAAGCGTGTATTAATCCTAATACGTCACTATATCCATCTTAGCTCTTGCTAAAGCAAGAAGAAATCCCAATTCTAGCTATTAGACTCCTATTTCATCCTTTTTTAAGTGGCTTTTTAAAATGTTCTTTATTTTTTAACTCTTTCTTAGGAAGATACTGATTCTGACCGCATAGGTGATGAGTGTGATAACAACCAGGACATAGATGAAGATGGCCATCAAAATAATCTTGATAACTGCCCCTATGTGCCCAATGCCAATCAAGCTGACCATGATAAGGATGGCAAAGGTGATGCCTGTGACCATGATGATGACAATGATGGTATCCCTGATGACAAAGATAACTGCAGATTGGTTGCCAACCCAGATCAAGCTGATTCTGATGGTAAGATGACCGGTATCATAATAACGTTTTAAAAATATCTTCCAATACTTTTATGCTTGCTTTCTTCCCCCACCACCAACTTAGGGTTGGACAAAACTTCCAAATAACACAACAGTGTAGACGTTCTACCTTTTCTATAAGGAGCAATGTAAAAATCACATGTCCAACTTACTTCTAAGTCACTATCAATCAGGCTGGAGTGAAAGGGCATTTATACAGTAGATTCTGTGGTTTCTGTAGCGTGTCTGCCAGCAGTACCTGGGCAGTCAGAGATTTTCAATTAAGATATCAACTCCAAGTTGTAACACTCGGAAGCAAAGAGCAATGGTGATATAATGGTGAAATTACCTGTGTCCTGCAGGTGATGGACGTGGAGATGCTTGCAAAGATGACTTTGACCAGGACAGTGTGCCAGACATAGATGATATCTGCCCTGAAAATGTGGACATTAGTGAGACTGATTTCCGAAGATTTCAGATGATTCCCCTGGATCCCAAAGGAACCTCCCAAAATGATCCAAACTGGGTTGTTCGTCACCAGGGTAAAGAACTGGTTCAGACTGTCAACTGTGACCCTGGCCTTGCAGTCGGTAAGAGGAAAACTTTGACTCTGATAGGCATTACACTTTTGTTTGTTTTTCAGCTGGGGGCAAGGGAGGAGGAGAACCTGAGAAACTATTAAGGAGTTGCTTAAGAATAGCAAATGACCAGCATCTAAAACTTTCTACTTTAATGCCCCCATAGGTTTTGATGAATTCAATGCTGTGGACTTCAGTGGTACCTTCTTCATCAACACAGAAAGGGATGATGATTATGCTGGCTTTGTATTTGGCTACCAATCTAGCAGTCGTTTCTATGTTGTCATGTGGAAGCAGATCACCCAGTCTTACTGGGACTCCACACCAACCAAAGCTCAAGGCTATTCAGGTCTCTCCATCAAAGTTGTGAATTCCACCACCGGTCCAGGAGAACACCTCCGTAATGCTCTGTGGCACACAGGAAACACTCCTGGCCAGGTAAGAGTGGCACTTTGGTAACCTACTCTTCTGCACCAAAGGCAGGCTCTACTTCCAACAAGTTCAGCCCTTACAGGGGGTCTGTACATGCTGATCAGAATGGTATAGTCTTCTTGGCAAAGACCAGTAACTTCATAATTATCCCAAATCACACAAAATATTGTATAAAACTAAGAAGATTGCATGCTGCAGACAGGCTTTGCTGCAGCAGTAAATCAATTGTTTCTGGAATTGTGGAGTGGTTTCCTACTGACACATTTAAAAGTAAATTTAAATGCAGTTGATTTCAAAAGACCCCATTACAGAGCCTAATGACTTACTTTAAGCTTTTACTAGTCATAATGGTGATTGTCAAGGCACCTTCATGTCAAAATAATGGCTATGTTATCTCAGGCCTTTGGTTAATAAAAAAATATTCTTTCATAGGTGAGAACTTTGTGGCATGACCCTCGTCACATCGGCTGGAAAGACTTCACTGCGTACAGATGGCGTCTTAGCCATAGACCAAAGACTGGTTACATCAGGTGAGCATCATCCTTTTACATTAAGTAATTATCACAAGGAAAGTGGATGTCTGCAAAGATCAATGTAACAGAAGCTTGTCAAACATGGCTGACCTATTGTCTATCTTTGCAGGGTTGTAATGTATGAAGGGAAGAAAATCATGGCAGACTCAGGACCAATCTATGATAAAACCTATGCTGGTGGTCGGCTAGGATTATTTGTCTTCTCTCAAGAAATGGTGTTCTTCTCAGATCTTAAATATGAATGCAGAGGTAAGGAAGACATTGTATTTAAGAGATCCTATATCAATGAATTGGTTCAAGAAAGCTGCTCTCAAAAATAGAATGGATTAAGAAATAAGAGCTAAGAGGGAAAGTTCACCCATGATCTTTCATGGCTCGATCTCAAGTGAGTTCTGTAGGCAGAAACAGGACACCTTCTTGATAAACTCTTAAGAGTTTACTTAGATTTTATACATTTAAACTTTATATTCCTGTCCCATTATTCTGAAGTATCAGAAATCCATGTTAAGTTCCAGATACGAAATACATCTTGAATCTCCTTTAAAACACTGATTAGAATAAATCAACACAAATGTTAAAGTCCAAGGTGAAAATGCAAAATACAGACTTTAGCAAGCAAGAGAGTAGTGTCTGACATGCAAAAAACTGATTTGCTTAAAAGTAAGCAAAGTAGACGATTGTCTTAAGTATTGCACTCTTGCAGTTCAGTGGAGGTAAGTGCATATGACTAGTTCCACGTGCCTTAGTCTTTTTAAATTGTGACTTCATTATGTAATGAATACATAGACTAGATTCTGAAATCTTAACTCAAGAAAGTACCTAAGCACTTTCAGTTTTCTTTACCAATATGTTCTTTCCAAATGTCTCTAGGAATTAATGTCTTAGACTCAATCATGCTAAGACACAGAAATATTTAAATATCTAGACTTTCTTTTTCACAGATCCATAATCACAAGGTTATTGGACCCAGAGACTATTAAAAATGCTGGTATTGCACCTTCTGAAACGTTTAGCCTTACAAATCCTGGGACCATTATATTATTCCTTCCTTTCTTCTTTCTGCGTAAACGTGGACTCGAAACACATGACCTGCCTCAAGAGAATGCTTTTGAGAGAATGAAAGTGAGAACATACTTGGTATCTGACCTCTGCTGAAGTGGAAGGAAAAAATGTGTCTTGCAAATGAGAATTGTCTTCACTGAACAAGCACACTTCTTTCAGTAGGAAAGACATTTGTTTGCTGTTTATCACAGTGCAGTGTCACTGCCTCTCTAACTGGAGGTCCCATGGAGTAGGATTTTGTAAAAAGAACATCTTTGGATGTGCTGTGGACTACTTAAACTGAAGACCTTTCATTGTGTGGGGAAAAGGGTTTTTGGGTGGGAGGGTGAACTCGAAGTCTTTTTAATGAGGGCTGCGCTACCTTGGTTTACGTCCATTTGACTTGGAGAAACAAGTATAGTTTTAGATGTCATATCTTTCAGATGAAAACACAGCCTTTTAATCTATTTGTGGTGAGCTAGATCAGCTGCTCTATTACATAGGACAAAACAGATACCCTAAAACTGACTTCTGTGGTGGGAGGGGGAAAGAGGATAAAAACTGGCACGCTGGATCACACCAGCTTTGGGAGAACTGGGATTTACAATTAGATTCTGTTTTTTCCTGATTAGATGCAGACCTTACTTACCTTTTAAGTGTTTTCTTTCGAATACGGTGCCAGAAAGCACCGCCATCTCAGCTAGCACTGTGCTGTCCTTCAGGAAACCAGCACATGCTTCACTTTTTATGGTTAAAAAGGCACAAAAATAATAGTAATTAAAACATTCCTTTTCTACATGCCATAGACGCCTTAAACCCCTCACTTCTTTGAGGTGGAGGGGAACGGGCCTGTAGATAAATAATGAAATTGTAAAATATTTATTTTTACTGATCCTTGATGTTATAATGACCAAGGGATTATTGATTAAAACAACAAGAAGTGCGTCAAGACTATCCACCTAATCATTGTTACAAGTCTTCATGACTGTAAGATTGTAAATACAGATTATTTATTAACTCTGTTCTATATGGAAACTAGAGGGGTTTTAGTTGAGAAAAAAATCTTGTCTGGAGCAGATAGTGGTGATGTATTGAAGTGGCAGAGTGGGAAATGTGATGTTTGTTTTTTCTCAGCGTGAGCTCAGTGTTGGCTTTCCTTTCTTTGTGCAAGGCAGTTGGTAGCCTGGCAGGCAACTCCTCTGCGGTGCTAAAACTCGAGCCCCTTTGGATGGTAGCAGTTGCTGTCTCCCATTCATAGTGCTAGAGACGAGGGAGTGAATTTTACTAGCTTAGCGGTTATTTAGTGCTGGGAAATGTCTGCAGTGCTTTACCACTGGTCAGTGGGCCTGACACAAAACCAGAATACCTGCCCTGAGGAGATTGCAGGGAGAAGCACAGTGACCGCAGTCAGCAACCATTCAAATCAGCTATTTGGGCCACTGCACGCAAATTATTGTAACTAGTAATGTGCAGCTAGAAAAGGAATTCTTCACGGACTAGCCAGAATTTTAGGAGCTCCTTGCAAAAGAGGGAGAGAGATTGATGTACATTAACTGAAGACTGTTTTCCCCAAAAGAAGGGGCAGCATCCTTATACCTGTAATATTTCCTCATCCTTTCATAAAAAGGAAAAGAAATGAACACAGTGAAAGTTTTACGTACAAATATTACCTCATTGTTGTGTGACTGAGAAAAACCTTTGGATTAAGCAGAGTTCAAATGTCTAACAAACTTTAAAGCTACTGTAGTACTAAAAAAGTTAATGCTGTACATAGTCAAAATTTCTTTGCAGAAAATGTATTCCCAGTAAGGAAATGGCATTGGAAAAAAAAATGTCAAATACAGTTTCTAATGTTGTGTTATATTTTTTTCCTGTCATCTTGTATACCGTTGCTTGTATTTTTATAAATTATTTTTCTCATTGCCATTGTAACAGTTAATCACATAACTGTGTAGATACGCTATTTAAATAATTTATCATGAAATGCTACCTGTAGAGTTAGTATTTCTATTTTTATAAAATGTTTGCACATGGAACTGAAGATTTTTTTTTTTGCTTCCCTCCTCCCAATGTTTTTGCTAGCATAATTTTCTAAGAACATGCTTTTTTGTAAACATTTTTAACCATTTTCCATTTTAAAGTTGTGTAAGTTGTACAATAAAGATTCATACATTCAAAGAACAATAAACCACCAAGGACATTTATATTTACACCTTTGTGTTTTATTGATGTTTTGTAATGCTGCTGTGGATCACCAACATGCTAACATATAGCTCTGTTACTCATGTCAAATGGGTCTTCAAAGCATGCCGTCTCTCTGATCTTTACATTAAAACTACCACAAGAGGAGCAGCACTTGAGCTTTCACTCCAGGTATAACACCTGAAGGCACTTCTGCAGTTAGGGAGCATGGACAGCTGGCAAATTTGATTCTGGAGGCTTTGTGTAAGACTTCTGTGAGCATCGACGCAGCCATGCTGCTATTGATGAAGCCACAAGGCAAAACCCTCTTTGAGGGATTTCAGTCAGCCCCAACCAGGCCTGGCCCCGCTTGCTGTCTTTCACGTGCAAAGAGGCAACCGGATGACTATCCGCAACGGCCGATGACTGTCTGTTAATACCTCTTCTAGACTGAGACTGGTAGTGTGATCAAAAAGCTGATGATGTGGCCCTATATCAACTGCTTGAACGTGCTGCTAAAAATAAGAGCAGTTAAGACTAGTTGCTCAGTCTTTATCACAGAATCACAGAATAGTAGGGGTTGGAAGGGACCTCTGTAGGTCATCTAGTCCAACCCTCC